CGTATGTTGTCATGGTAGTTGACTATCCAACCAATCAGATCACAGTTACACAACTCTCTTAGTGGCTACGCTCTGAAAGATGCTCTCTTGTTTTAAGCATAAGAGAGTTGCGAAGTGACAATCCCATATACATCGGAACACCGTCTGCTCGAAACTTGGCCTGTCACAGAGGATTTGCAATGGTGAAACAGATTGCGATATGTGCGTGGTTCTTTCTGACCTATTGTACACATAGACACGGTAAATCTTAGTTTGCAAAATGCTCTCTCCACACACACACACACACACACACACACACACACACGCACACACACACACACTCAAAAGGTATATTTCTCCCTGACTGATCACATACTGGTAGCCTGACATACATAATTTGTTGCCCCGTCGTATTCATTTCGCAGTGAAACGATGCCAGAGGACAAATGTCTCATTCTCGTCAACTGTGCCAGGTGATCAGGCTACATATGAAGGAATAGTATGCAAGAATGAATGCACATCTTCTGATTGGATCTCGATTTGCTTTGTGCGTTCTGACCAAGACAGTTTGAACTATGCTTGATTTATTCCGGTAGATTTATTTAATGTAGTTTTCTAATGTCTGTTTACTTTTTTATTTTTTGAATACATACGAATGTACAGTCAACATTCAGAAAGGGAGGGGAGCGGTCATACAAATGTTGCCTGGGGAGACGGGCGGCAGTGGAACCGTTTGAATCCGGGCCTCACAGGTCACAAGTTGGTGACCTAACCACTTGGCCACCACCACCCGATTGCAGTTCTCTTTAGCATGTGTGCGTTTGACAAAACTGTACCTGCCAGGTAAATCTGTGCGCACAACAAACAACATACAGATAGACTGTCGGTGTTTGAACACCACTGTGTACACAGCATTGCACGAATCTGTTGGGGTAGCCGGACGAGCAATACTGAGGTTAAGCGTAGAGTTTTAGAAGATCGTGGTCGACCACCATAGATTTCGCCGGTTGGGACATGTGCTGTGTATGTCACCACGGTGCGCAATGTTTGCCGAAAGTGGTAGTGGGTGAAAAAATGAAGGGTGATCAAGCTCATACCTGGCAAAGGGTATAAAATCCTCAACCAGGAGACTGGGTCACATAGGTCCCGTTAGGCTTCCTGGCTGGGGACTTCGGGATGGTCGTAACCGGTGGTTAGAAACACTGAATGATATGGCTGAGTGTCTTAAACGGTGGCTTTCGGGTATCTTCTCAATTTTTTTGCAACATCAGTCCAATGAAATTCTCCATTATCTATTCGGCTCCACTTCCAACCTGTCCTGTTTTTCTCCTACTGTTCGTCCAAATGGGCAACCAAAGACAGCAACCAAAACCAGTGAACGAAAGTGCATGGTTAATAGTTGTTACAAACTGAACTGAACTAAACTGTGCACACAACGCAATCTCCACTGTGTCCGACACGGCTTCAATGGGACAGAAAGTTGTATTCACACCTACATGTTTTTTGCTCCCGCAAACCACCCAGATTATTTAACTTTCACGCAACTCATTCCCGTATGTAAAAAACGGGATTTTAATTATAACAATGAGAAAGAGATGTGTGTGAGAAAATTTGCTGCTCACGGTTCAGGAAAATCTTGAAAATATCGAAGCGAGTACAGAACACATTAATCTTTAATGATCGTGATTGAAACATAACCGTTAGACATATTTTCAACAGCGTCTGGGATCGTCTGGATTTCGAAATTGTCTTCAATTCATGGACAAAGTGGAATGATTTTGTATGCATATAAACAAAGCTCGTCAAGAGACCCTCTCCTCCACAGTTATAACCGGATAAAATCTGGACTGTGGAGTGATCCAGCCACAGTTTTGATGTTTCGGTGCAACATCCACTTTCCAGTGAGGTGGGACCACTATTGTATGGAAAATTATGGTTCCCGACTAGATTTTCTGGTCTAACGGAGAGGAAACAATGGTTCCAGGTGTTGAGGTAAGCTTTAGCTGTTTTATTTCCTCCAGTAATTGCCCACTGAGATTCGCCTCCCCCCCCCCGAGATCATGACAGAGTACACCACCCCACCAGATGTAGATTCTATGGCTGAAGGTGGACTAACTATTTATTACTCAGTGGTAGGAGACTTCATTATCATTATCAATGTGACAATCTGGTATCCATAGCACCGACTTCATCTTCGTGAGTTGTAAGTTGGGTGCAGTCGGCAAACGTCGTTGCTGAGATCCCGGTGCACATTAACACCCAAAACATACAGTTCACTGCAACTTCAACACACTGTTTACCTGATTTGAAGCAGCAGCATCACATCAAAGGTTGTCCCGCGTCTTGGTCAGAGATCTTTCCACGAAATTCCACGTTTATTCATCCAGTTAGTTGTCTGTCGGCTAATAGGTTACAAAAACCCTCAGTAATCGATCGATTTTCTTGGCAATCTCCCGAATATTGTTGCCCACGTCTTTAAATGCGTGAGTAGGTTTTGTCCTTGTTCCCAGCTTTAATAGCGTGTCATTCTTCTGTTCCGATGAATGACATGTTCTTGGGGTAGACCAGCATGAACTATCTTGATGATGATCATTCACCTACCGTGTGCGAAGTCAATCTTCTCGAACAGTGCATAATTGGACATCGCATAACAAAACGAAGGAATGATGCATTCATACGACTTGCGTGATGAGCGATCGAGTGCACTTGAGTGACAGTACTCGGACTGGGGCTAAAAGCATTTCGCACCCCACCGACAGTGGCAAGTTTTCTATACTGGGTTTGCATTCTCCATACCGTATCGTGGTGAAAACTTCGATCAATCCCAGTGGTTTGGGGGCATTTGGGAATGGGATAGCATTTAGGAGCATGAGGGTGAGAAACTGCTTAAAGCCTATTACGCATCTAGCCCTGGATTTCTCCTTGTAGAAAGGGACTAATCGTCGGGTCCTTACTAGATTTTCCCACTCACTTAAATGTCACTTAACTAGGCAGTCGACTAAAGAATGAAACAAGAGCTCACTGACTACTATCAAGATGCGAAGCTGAATTCAAACAGGGGGATTTCGGATCTTTCCAGTTTTCCTGGACAATGGAACAAGTCAAAGCACAAGATCTTAGTACAAATGCAACAACCAGTCAGATTTTGGAAGTTTCCAACCGAGTCATAACCCTGAAGGCTAGTGCTTAGATAAGCGAGGCATGATGCTCGCCAGAAGCTCACAAAAACATGGGTTGTACTATATCAAGTATGAGGAA